TCATTATCATTATCATTACCATTATCATTATCATTAATATTATTATTATTATTATTATTATTATTATTGTCTTGCACTGTTTACGGCACCAAAGAGACATCAGTAGTATTTTGAGCGCGTGATGCGAATTCCATTTTTGAGAGCAAAATGGGCACAACTTTGAGTTGAGGGCTTATAAAATCGTCAGTTTTCACTCTAAAATTTCAATCTTTGGATACCTGTATTTCAACTGGTAAATTTTATAACTAAGTAAGATATTTCTCGTTTCACATGCACTTTATCAGCGTCTGTTTATATGCTTCAAGGCTTTCCAATGCATCTCTAACAACAAGATTTACTTGCTAGAGGAGAAACATCGGCAGTTAACTGTAGCAAGAATAAACGAAACTTGCCTTTATCGCGGGCTAGGCTTTTAGCGACTGATTTCCCTAGTGCTATATACATTAATAAATAAATAAATTCAAGAGATTATGATCTACATCATACTCTCCTGATAAAATAGATGAATCACTATATTTAAGTTTTATGGTATTTAGCACTGCTGCGCTAATTGGGACACCATACATCGAGAAATAAATCGTATAAATGGAACTGAAAGCTCGTCAAAATTCCCAACTGGTAGGAGGCTGACCAGTTGGATATGTACAAGACTTGGAAAGGCTGAAATCGGGACCGAACGGAAATCCATATTGGCAGGGAGTAGGATTTGAACCCGGGACTTCCAGATTACAAATCTAGCGCCCTAACCACCCCTCATTTCGTCATTCCTAAGTATTAAATCTGTCGTTGATACAGGCTGCTATATCCTTTGGCCAACCCGAGAAGGGCTGATTTTGTCATCAAATAGATAATAACGACGCTCGGAAATTAGCTAAACGCCAGTTCTTTCAAACCTTTGTAATGATAACAAAAGAGACTCAAAGCCACAGACAATTGAAATAACCATAAAAAGAAAAGTGACGCCGCACTATTGTCTACCCAAAATTCAAACCAAAGTTTGATATGACCATCTCCCGCTCATTTTGGCTGTAATAGAAGTCGCCGGCCAAGAAGCTCGGTGCATGGTAGGGTAAGGCCAACATATTTCGAAAAATACTTTATCATGCCAACTTTAAATGATAAAACATAGATAATAACAGACACCTACCGAAGGTAGGGGTCTTCTGTGTTTCCACTTTGCTGAAGCGAAAATGCCTCAGAAAAAGATACGAATGCCTGGTCGTTAGTACAAAGCGGCTCCTCTGATGATCCCTCTCCTTGAAATTTCACAAGATATGTTGACGATATACGCCTATTCACTTGATCTCTCAAGTGAATTGGGAAACAGCTCAGAGTCAGTAGATAGTTGGTAGGTGTTACATTTCCCACATCGCACAAGAAAGCTAAAAATCCTGCTTGTTGTCCCATGACTCCTTTGTATAGGTCAGAAGCAAGTTGCCTTAGGCCATCAAAGGGCTTCTTTAACCACCACAACCAAATCCTGAGAAAAATGTAGATAATCATATGTCTTGTAGAATACCTACCCAACTACCAACAGAACTGGCAAATTACCTTTCCTTAAGTTTTGCGAGATAATTATTTTATTTCCGCTCTCTGATTAGATGGCTATTCCAGACAAACATTCTTGCGAAAGTTTTACTTCCAGCCATGTCCAATACATCCGATCTAAGTCGGGTCGACTCGAGTGTGTAATGTGCACGTCTGTCTTTAAAATAAATTATTTGTCAGTAGTATAACTAGCACCCTTTGTGGCATTGTAGGTGTTGATGTATGGAATCTCTAAAATGGGGTTCCCACTCCACTGATGAGAAAACAGTGGGTAAAATGATGGATGTTGCATATGTGGGGTCGCTTATTTGGTGTTCTTTCACCCTAGTAACAAATTGTTATTTTACTCTTTTAACATAGCTCTTTTATGTAGGTATGTATAGACATGTTCATGCACAGGAAAAGACGCAACAAAACGCATATTTCAAGATAATTTCGATTACTAATAATCGGAGGGGGGAGGGGAGGGTACTCCCTTATATCGACTATATAGGTATGTGCAGTCTCAAACGATATGGTTTTTTAGCCGTTTAATTTTGGTCAGAAATATCGTATCAATTTTCGCCATTTTGGTCTCAAATAGAGTGAGGTTTTTTCCCTGCAGCCTTCCTAATAACACATGTAAACATTGCCTTTAACATAGGTTAAGCTTGGGAACTAATTGTAAGGCATGTCTGAAACAGGGTATTTTTTAAAGGGTCATGTCTTAAATAGTGTATCCAAGTTTTGGTGAGGCCGGGTAGGGAAAATCGCAGATTTTGGTCTCAAGTATGTTAAGGGTTTTGGGAAGCGGGCCGCACACCCCCACACAATTTTTTTCTGGGAGTCCCTTCCTACTCCCTCCCCGGGTTGTAGTCTAAGACAAGTTACAGCGGAAAGAAACAGCCCTTTACTTACCGACAGAAATGTTTGACTTGGAATGTCACTATTCCATTTGCAAGAACTGGCGGCATCACTAACTGATCCGTACTTTCAGTCCATTCTTGTAATTTTTCTTTTGAATAGTGCAATATCCTCCACTGATCAGAAACTGTGTTTGCCAAATCCCCCCTGCCTTGAAAGAACGTAAGAGGGATCGTGATTCTTGCTGGTTCCAAAAGTTCAACATTGTGAGAAGATGATATGTGAAGGACTGGACCAACTAACATTCCCTCTCCGTTAGGGCCAATACTTGTAAGTTCTTGAACCTTGAGTCAAGAAGCCAAAAGAAACCATTAAACATTCATGTTGAATGCTTGTTTGACTGCAGTTTAATTGACTGTTACGGTTTAGGATCTTCCCGTAGATTTTGCTGCATTCTTAATTCAGTCGCTCGTGTTGACGATATACAAGCTCTTTTGATTAAATCCTTTGGATTAAACTCTACATAGCATAGTAAACTGTGACATGGAATGGATTTTTGTAATTTCTGGAATGGCATTGGCACAAAACTCCCCACGTGTGCCGCTTTAAGTCATTCACAATGTAATGGCTGGTAACCGAGATTCGTCAAACTTGTTAAAAGACTAGAAATTCATTAATATGGTGATAATCTAATAACGACAGATATTGACAAATTTCCCACCTAGTTCTACTTACTTCATGCTACCCTTAAGCTTCTTTCAGTGATAGTTAGGAAAGGGGGCTTCATTTGAAAAAACATAATAAACTAGCGATTTGCGTAACCACTGAACTTATAGACGCACGCAAGAGACTACCAAACTACTCACTGGAGTATCCCAACAGAGCGACTTCATTCAGCTAAGCTTGAATTTTTCTCAGTTTTGGATGTCCCAGTAAAGATATTGTTCTCTAGCATGGCAGATTAAAAGAAGAGATCCCTCACAATTATCGATCGGAGTTGAAGTGTGTGTCTGAATGCACAGACACTCTTTTATTCGTTCGGTATCTACTAAATTTAGACACTCATCACTGTAGCCAAAAATATGTAGCTATACACTGCAGCCACAAATATCTGTACCTTTAATGTCAAACAGTAGTCGTCTTTGGCAGGCACAGATTTCCAAGGGATTGAAACACTGACATCTGGATAGTCTGGCACTTTACAAGTAAATTCAGGAGTGACAGGCTTGGGCTTCCGAAAAATGAAAGATTTGAGGCGCCAAATTGCGGCAAAGGAGGAATAACGTGTTAATGAGCATGCAGCTTCAGCAAATGGGAAAAGCCAGTTGGGAACAGTAGATTTAGCTGCAACACAAGTGTATCATAATTATTATTACCTTTATATCACATAACTATATTGTAACTGTATTTCAAAACTATATTAGTAGATGTAAGATCTCCTGGCCTTCGTGGGGTGTTTTAGAGCGAGCATTTGAGAGCCTTGGTCCAGGAAATGAAAAGAATTTCGGTTTCTGTCACTTTAGCGATACTGTACATGCCATTTGCCATATTGTCAATGTATGCGCAAAGTTCGAAGAGAGATTGAATCTAACACACAGATTTAGCCAAGCCTAAAAGCTGGGCTACTGATTACAATAAGTTAACCTGGCATGAGCCTGCGATCCAATCGAAAACCAGTACCTGGACAGTAGTCAACATAAAAAACACACGAAGTCGATGAGCTCTAAACCTGAGCCCGCGATATGGTCACGTGATACTGGCCGGCGGATACCTTGTTTTGACAGGTGGCAACTGAACTATTAGTATTATTATTATTACTATTATTGTTAAAAGGTTGTACTCTGAAAACCAAGGCTGCATACCTTAGTCGACCTATTAGCTGGATTATGGCCGCCAGGTTGCGCGACGTCGTCATTGTCGTCATAGGGCGCACGCGCCCGCGATTCATGCCGCTACTTTTAAATGGTCAAATTTACTACGTATAATCATGGGAAGTGACCATATGAAAGATCATTTATTTCAATTGAGATAAAGGATTGAGCAAAAATATCACCAAAAAAAAAATGGTTTGAAAAAGATTCGAATACGTGACCTTGCGATACCTGTGCAGGGTTCTAGCAACTAAGCTATCAATCTGTGTAACTAACCGTCGCTTCACTTTTAAGTCTATGGATGAATTTCTAGGGCATAACTATTGAAATAAATGAAAGATTACTGAGAGCATTCAAATAAAAATTGTTAACCACTTCATTTAAGTTGTCAGTTCAAATGTGTATTATGCTGTCCAAGGTGTTTCTCACTTTTAGTTTTTTGACCATACCAATTAACCTATCACTTGTTCTAATGCAATACCTGATGTATGCCAAAAGGTGTTGGTCACCAAATCTATCCACTCATTGTTTTCCGGGTCAGCCAACTGCTTGATAACAACTTCATACCCCATGAAATTAGAGGCACTGTGCAACAAGGCAACAGTAACGCCTCCTTGGGGATCTCCACTGAACTCCAGGTCAGGTGGACCGTCATGTGACAGTTCAATCACGTTGCTTACCAAGACCTCATTACTGCCAAGAGGTGGATAGAGGATCCTGGGATTCCATAACGAACAAGTAATCAGGAAGGATTTTGTTATGGCTCCTCGAAAAAATGTGACAGATGCAGCAGCTTCTTGAAGGTTCCAGGTCTCACCCTCGCCTAATACTTTGCCTCTGAAAGATCAGTGTTGTTTAAGTGTACAACTAAAATGCTCAAAATTTATTCAACATTATTTTATTACAGCTACGCGGCTAAGTTTAGTATATCGATTATACTGAATACACAAATGCTATTGATAAAGATTACAGTCTATCCATTTAGTTCAGCAGCTTTCACAATCTTGAGTACTCACTGGATTTGGCATTCTGCCTCACCGCATATTTTTCATTGTTTGGTCAGATCTTGGCAATGCTTAGTTTAACTGCTGTCTGATATCCTTGACTAGCCGATCGTTTAAAATCCAAGGGTTAAAAAAAACTGCCTTGATTAAAAGTAAAAAAAAAGGGGGGTGCTAAACACGATTGATTTCACCTTATTTAATAAAGAATTAAAAATATGTCGGGTGAAGCATCTTTGCTCTGAAGGCGATCAAGCATGGAAATTAATCCCACACTGCTTTCTATCTGGTGTTGGCGGAACACTTCTTTTTCAATGCAATTACGACGTGAAATATTTGAACTTAAGTGCAAAACTATCCATTTTCTACAAGAACATAATTTCGCACTGGCAAGAATTAAATAATATTGTAGACACTGTACCTACAACAAAGAAAGACGTACTCGACCAAATCGTTTGGAATAAGAAGGTATCAGAGGTACACAAAAATCACTAAATTCCGCCATTTTGCCTTTTCAAAACGCACTATGACGCGCTGTTGCCATAATCATCTACTGACAAACCTGGTGATAGGCATAAAAAAGGTAGGAGCAAAAGAATGGCCAATTCCCTCTATGAGATATCCAGTCCAGGATGATGAATACAACTACCATGATTCCCTGCAGGCACGTCTCATAGAGGGAACTGGCAAATCGGAAAATAAGATAACGAATCATCACCTGCAGACATCAAATTATAGTTTGGGTCAAAAGAGCATATTTTGGTCTATACTCCTATGCAGCATCAGTATATCTTCGGTTTGTAATACTCACTCGTGTATTTTTATCTTATCTGGTTCTTGATCATCCGGATTCTCTAACTCCTCCAGCTCCTGCTCGTCAACTGCAAGTTGTGATAACTGCTCAGTGAGGTCTTGGCTGCCATTACTACCATCATCGTCATCATCGTCATCATCGTC